ATTCTTGGAAATTTTTATTACAAGTCACGCGGTGCTTAAACCGAACAAATATGTTGCCCCGGTTAATCCGAAATCCACGTGATCGCCTTTACAGCACAGCAGTTGCAATGTCTTTACAACAGTGGGCAGAGTTTAATTGATTTTGTTGTCGTGGCTCTGCTGTCAAATGAGCCGACTCTTCTGCGCGGAAGCAGGAAAGTCTTATCACAGGAACATGGTTATAGGCACAAAGCATTGAAGAATTGAGACTCATCCACAAGGGCGCAGTGGTAGCTAGGAGATGTTAACGACCTCACCTGGTATGCAGGAGGTCATGGGCTCGATCCCAACCCTGACACCTGCTGCTGCCTATTTGGAGTTTGCGTGTCTCTCTCTCTCTCTCTCCCCCCATGGTCGCGTGGATTTTTCTCCGGGACCTCCGGTTTCTCCCCTACACATTTAGAATACAGGTCACGTGTAAAGGTATTCGGCAAATATAAATGTCCACGCGACGATGGTGAGCCCACTTCGTTGAGCTATGTCGCTGCTTTGTGTGATGGAGAGGGTCGGCATCTGAAACAAATAGCTATGTCATCGCAGCTCAGTTGGGCCCTCACCAGGTTAAGAATAATTGTTTAGCACAGGGTGCTTAAAAAAAATGTTCACACTTATTTGGGACAATTGTTTTTAATTGAACAAAAATATGACCACAAATGTATGCCAATAGAGTCACAAAGTCAGAGAGTCTCCACTTGTTCGCCATCGTTTTCGAAACATGCCTGGAATCCTCTCCAGATGGTACCCAGAGCCCGGAGGCACATTCCTTTGTGGCATTGTTGCAAATTTTCAGAAGCACCCTGCATTAGTTTTAGGAAGGACCCAGCCTTGCCCCAAACGAGCGTCAGGACGTTACCGGCGCCCTCGCTGGCGTCACCCACCGTGAAAGCGCAGGCAGGGAAGTGCCTGGCGTGCTCCCGAGCGGGGTCGTCTCCCGCCTCCCAGTGATGCATCGTCCCGCCGCAGTGGAAACAGGCCACCAGGTCGCTGGGTCCCATGCGGTAGAGTCCGGCCCGCGCCAAGCCCGCGGGCCATACGGGGGACGACTCAGGCCACCCCTCGGAGAACAACAGCAGCCTGGCCGCTTCGGCGTGCATCTCCGAGGCCAACGGTCGCGGGATCCAGTCGAAGTGGGACGTCGGAGGAGCGGAGCGTCTCCCCGCCAACGCTCTGCGAAAGGCCCGATTGTCTACGATGTGCGACATCGACCGGGCGAGAAAATACGGGGCAATTTGGGGGAAAAGAAGTCGTCGTGCGAATGCTTTTGCAATGGACAAGTCCGCCCGGGCTCTCTTGTTAAAGATCACTCGAGAAACGTCGTGCCTTCTCCTTTCCGACGTAAAAGAGATCCCGGGGCTCGCAGCTCGTAGCTCGATGGGTAGTTTAAAAACCGGCGATGGGAAATGGCACGACTCCTGTTGTCACCCTTGACAGCTCCTGAATACGGGAAAAAAATGTTGGGCGGCAAGCATCATTAAAAGCGGACACCTTTTAGTGACTTGAAATGTTTGGTTAAAACAATTAATCCATAACAGAGGTTTTTTGGGGGTTAGATCGCGTAAATATATTAATGTTAAACCCGCCACCAACCTCTATTATGGATGATATTTATCGCCAAAGCCTACGTGTTAAAAATTAAACAGTTCAGTCTGTCACTTCTGACAAACGTCTGCACAGCAATAAACGGGGGCACGCACAGTCTGGAAGGTCCTGTACCAAACGGAGTTTCGAGGGTTATCTGGTGTGAGAAAAACCAACACTACCCATAGACTCAACACTGCACCATAGACTCAGCACTGCCCATAGACTGAACACTGCCCATAGACTCAACACTGCACCAGACTCAACACTGCACCATAGACTCAGCACTGCACCATAGATTCAACACTGCACCATAGATTCAACACTGCACCATAGATTCAACACTGCCCCATAGATTCAACACTGCACCATAGACTCAACACTGCCCATAGACTCAGCACTGCACCATAGACTCAACACTACACATAGACTCAGCACTGCACCATAGACTCAACACTACACCATAGACTCAACACTGCACAATAGACTCAACACTGCACCTGCAAATCATCTGCAAATCACGGACTGGATGTTAGAGGACATTCTTTACCTCACGTTTTCTCTCAAAAGTGGTGACCTCACACTCCTAGCGGGTCGTCGTCCTCGTTAATTGATCAACAAAAATCAATTTTCCGGCGTCTGCACCCCCCTCTCGAATTAAAAAATGGCGGTGGGTGAAGGGGAGGAGCCAAAACTAATTGGCGGGAAAAAAACTTCGCGTCACGTGGGAAGGGAGACGCCAAATCTGATTGGCTCTGAGGCGGAGCGACTTTGAGGAAAACTTTTTTTTAAAGTACGAAATTACAAAACTCAACATCAACAATAAAACTCGCGTTGGCATTCGCGCGTTGTAAATAAATGTAAAAAAATAAAAGTTTTATTGTTGACGTACCATATTTAAATAAAATGTTTTTTTACTCAAACGCGATTCCGTTGTTTCGTTTCCTTCTCGTCCTGAATCGTGTCGAGCTATGATTACGAAACGCGAATCGTGGTCCGCGTTTGCTGAGCCAATAGGAGCACAACGCTGCTGAAGGCAGGGTCCAATAGGAGAAGGCGATGGTGGGAGGTGGCCGGGTGCCGCTTGGACCAATCAGTGAGTAGGACGTTCAATGTTTCCCGCTCTTTCGGGTTTTTTTTTAAATCACAAAACAATATTTAAACCCCGGGGTAAAAGTTATGGAGAGCATTGTTTCGATAAGTGTGTAGTCGGCAAAGTTTGCACGTAAATTATATTTAAACAGAGGAGCAATAACAATAATATAACTCCACCAATATTATCCCAATGGTAATCGATTCCATCAGCTATAATCACTACCACCATCTCGATTCCCGCTTTATCCCCCCCCCATTGAAAATCGATTCCACGAGCTTCATTCACCAACAATCGATTCCCATGTTATCAACAACGGGAATCGACTCCATCTAAAACGTCGGAAGCCGCAACGGGAATCGACTCCATTTAAAACTTCGGAAGCCGCAACGGGAATCGACTCCATCTGAACGTCGGAAGCCGCAACGGGAATCGACTCCATCTGATCTTCGGAAGCCGCAACGGGAATCGACTCCATGTTATTTTTTAACAATAATGTCTAAGAGTGTTATTCTATTACAACGTTGCTTTTCTTCATAACCACAATCATATAAACAGAAATCTATGCATTGTTACATGAAGACAAGTCCACATATTGTGGCCAAGGTTTATAAAATTGTTATTTTTATTTACATAGCACAGCAATTATTATTGTTTAAATATTTTGAATAGCAATATATTGGAGGGGCATTTTGAGCAATATTTTTTTTTGGGGGAAATCTATTTTTATTCTTCTACAAGCCGCCACAACATGTACACTTAGCCAGCTCTTACAATGAACAATACTTCAATGGTACACGTTGAAACTTAAGCCTAAGGTGTTTCTCCCCTCTGAGAAACACTTTCAAGGTCCCTCTTGTCATTTCAATATATCGTTGATACAGAATAAATAAACTCCGCCCATCTCATTCCACCAATGGATGAAGGCTTCCCCAACTCCATGGCGGTAATGGGGAGGAGGTTGTTTGACCATACTTCACCACTGCGGGTCATGTACAAAGCTTCATTTCAGCCAGATCTGTCCCCAAGTCGGCTGGGCACGCCGCATCCGCCACTCTTGTCACCCACAGCTGTGACCACGAGCCACGAGCCTACTCCAGTCCACCAGAGACACAGAGAATATTCTTCAGCGAGATGCTCTTTGGTCCTTTCAGGTTAAAGTCATCGCGTGGTAGGTACAAAATAAAATAAATCACGACGTTTCGGGCGCAACACAAGCTAAATTTTTATTTAAAGCTTTCGTGAGTGCAGTAATTTATATTCAATATATAAAAAATATATAAAACGTCGTGAGAATTTTTATTGTTTTATATATTTATTATTGTATTGTTTCCCTTCAACTTGACTTTACCGAAAGAGCTAAGAATATAAGGGACAAGTCCTTAGTAACAACTCCTTACGAACAACTCCCTACTTACTAACAACTCCCTACTAACAACTCCTTACATACTAACAACTCCCTACTTACTAACAACTCCCTACTAACAACTCTTATCATTTTTCATTGCTGAAGGGGTTGCCCCTCCTACCTGAAAATCCTGGCTCCACCTCTGAGTGTGTGACAGGGTCAAGTTTGTATTTGCAGTAAAGTCTAACTCTATTGAGCACGGAGGTTATATAAAAACAGTAGTTTATTTTTGTTTTCCTCTGCTACTCTTTCTAAGAATGTAGTCGGGAAGTTATCACAGCACACGTGCAGCTGAAGTCGGAACTGTTCATCCCAGCATTCAAGGACATCTGTGCCTGGCTTCACACCTCTAAGTTGTGATTGAACATTAATTTAGGCATTTCTGCATAACAAAAATAGTATTATTTTCCAAACCCCTTTGCTATGTCACCTGAATTTAGCTTTCATAAATATTCATTTTGAAGCCAGACAGCCGAAATTGTGTGCTCGGAGTTTTGGGTTAACATTCATTTTGAAGATACGAGCGCTTCCAGGCACGTTTATGACATTTGCCCTCATTGCGTGCCATAACAGCTCGTGTGATGAATTTGGGACACTTTTTCACTATAACATGAATATATGAATAAGTATAGACGTGTTCGTCACGTGTGACTGTATATATGCATTCCTCTGTGCATCGATACTGACATGTAGATGGTGTGGATATTATTTTTTTCTCTCTGCAGCTGTCGCTTCCTCTGCAGAATTTTACTGATGGAGCAAAGGCACTCGGTGCAGCTCGGTGCAAAAAGGCATCAATGCGACCGGTGTCCATACAGCACAAATCGTACTGAACATTTGACATTGCACCAGAGAACTCACACAGGGGAGAAACCCTTCAAGTGCAGTGTGTGTGGGAAGGCGTTTTCACGTTCATCTACTCTTGTAACACACCAGAGAACACACACGGGAGAGAAAACCTTCAAGTGCAGTGTGTGTGGGAAGGCGTTTTCACAGTCACCAAATCTTCAAAGACACCAGAGAAGACACACGGGAGAGAAACCCTTCAAGTGCGGGGTGTGTGGAAAGGCGTTTGCACAGTCACCACATCTTCATGTACACCAGAGAACTCACACAGGAGATAAACCCTTCAAGTGCAGTGTGTGTGGGAAGGCCTTTTCAGTTTCATCTGCTCTTGTAACACACCAGAGAACACACACGGGAGAGAAACCCTTCAAGTGCAGTGTATGTGGGAAGGCGTTTGCACATTCATCTACTCTTGTAAAACACCAGAGAACACACACGGGAGAGAAAACCTTCAAGTGCAGTGTGTGTGGGAAGGCGTTTTCACAGTCACCAAATCTTCAAAGACACCAGAGAACACACACGGGAGAAAAACCCTTCAAGTGCGGGGTGTGTGGGAAGGCGTTTGCACAGTCACCACATCTTCATGTACACCAGAGAACTCACACAGGAGATAAACCCTTCAAGTGCAGTGTGTGTGGGAAGGCGTTTTCAGTTTCATCTGCTCTTGTAACACACCAGAGAACACACACGGGAGAGAAACCCTTCAAGTGCAGTGTATGTGGGAAGGCGTTTGCACATTCATCTACTCTTGTAAAACACCAGAGAACACACACGGGAGAAAAACCCTTCAAGTGCGGGGTGTGTGGGAAGGCATTTGCACAGTCACCACATCTTCATGTACACCAGAGAACTCATACAGGAGATAAACCCTTCAAGTGCAGTGTGTGTGGGAAGGCGTTTTCAGTTTCATCTGCTCTTGTAACACACCAGAGAACACACACGGGAGAGAAACCCTTCAAGTGCAGCGTGTGTGGGAAGGTGTTTGCACATTCATCTTCTCTTGTAACACCCCAGAGAACACACACAGGAGAGAAACCCTTCAAGTGCAGTGTGTGTGGGAAGGCGTTTTCACAGTCATCAACTCTTCATGGACACCAGACAACACATAAGCATCAGAAGATCAACAAGGAGTGGAGTCTGAAATCAGCTTGTGAAAGTCAAAGTGCCGCAATGAGCCCATCCCTCATGAAACAAGAACCGGAAGAAAATCCCAGCTTGGACACTTTTAAAGATATCGAGGTGAAATATGAAGAGGTGAAGGTGAAATGTGAAGAAGTGATGGTGAAGAGTGAAGAAGTGATGGTGAAGAGCGAAGAAGTGAAGGTGAAATGTGAAGATGAAGATTCAACTCCACAATGGGACCTTCACATCGATGGAGGCTCATGCCCGAACCGCTCCTGGGCCTCCCTTTCGCCAACCCGTGTGCTCAAACATGCGCCCCCCCGTCTCGAGAGAAGGGGCTGGCAATTTCAAATGAACATCGTCCAGACAAATCGCAGCGGCGTACGCAGCCGCTGCAAGAAAACCTGACAGTTTTTTCAGCTCTCCTTTAACGAACACGTGGAAGTTATCGAACAGTGACATTTTATCTTTCCAAACATCGCCAGGCCCCTCGGTGGACATCGACGGCGAATCGCCCCGCCAGCCGTCCCGAGTTCTCGCCGCCGTCCGTCGTCGGCCTCGGCCTGGCGGAGAATCTCGGCGCCGCGGGCGCCCTCCTCGACTCCGGCTCTCCCTGCCGCGGCGCCGAGTCGCCCTCTGGCCTCCGCTCGAGCCGGCGCCCCGAGCGCGAGCCGGGGCCGCCCCTCCCAGCCGGCGCTCGCATCGGACGGCGGCGCTCGCACGCGCGAGAGACGAGAGATGCCCCGTTTACCGTGCGAGCGGTGAATGGGGCACACTTAGCTTGGCGCGAGCGCCGGAGGCCACTGCGCTAGTAGTCCGGCTTCGGCCGTGCCCTCCCCGCGGTCGAGCACGCGGCCCGAGGTCCGGCCGCCGGCCTCGCGTTTCTGTTTGTCGTCGTTCAATTTCCGCTCGGCACGTGCGCCGGTCCGGTTCCCGTTCACTTTAAGATATTTTCATGTTTTTTTTTTATGTTCGTTGCGGTTGTACCCGATTAACAAAAATAAATGAAACTAAAACAAAATCAATCGTGCGCTGCGCATGGTGCTGGTTAGAGCCCTGCGAGTCTCGATATGAGGGGGCGGCGGTGGTGGTGGTTCTGTAACCGCGAGCGTGGTTCGCTCACCGAGCGTGGTTCCATTACGACGCGAGGGCCTCTAGCACCACGGTCCAATCGGTGTCGGCGCGCGGCTCACGTCGACGTGGTGACGTCGCCACGGGCAGCTCCATCGCCGTGGTTTTACGTTGCCGCGGTTACGTCGCACCGCCGTGGCGGCTACGTCACCGCGAGCGGTTCCGCCTGGCTCTGTGACGGCAAGCGGTTCTGCCTGGCTCTGTGACGGCAAGCAGTTCCGCCCGGCTCTGTGACGGCAAGCGGTTCTGCCTGGCTCTGTGACGGCAAGCAGTTCCGCCCGGCTCTGTGACGGCAAGCGGCTCCGTCTCCGCGGGGCGCGGTTGCTGCCACGGCCGGCTCACCGCCCCACCCACCGCTCCGCCCCCACCCCCCCCCCCCCGCCATGCCCCCTGGCACGGCAGCTCTGCTGAGCCGGCGCCCAGTGCTGAACCCAAATAGGCACTTAAATAAATGTTGTACTCGGCAAGTTAACAGCTACAGAGGCCAAGCTCAAATCAACATGGTTATTATTATTTTAATATATATAAAGCTTATATTTCCACAGCGCTGAAAACGGGGCAGGAGGCCTCATTGCTTGCTGCCCCAACTCCACCGCCTAAAAGTGATTAGTCGTGATTAGAGTCGTGATTAGAGTCGTGATTAGTCGTGATTAGTCGTGATTATAGTCGTGATTAGTCGTGATTAGTTGAACCATTCAAAACGCAGGCGGTGGCACACCGCAAGGTTGCACATCACCGCCTGCTGGCAACCACGTCTGTCGGTAGAGCCCCGACACCCCCCCCTCCCACCCCCCGGCTGACGTGATTGGTTGGTACAGTCCCATAAACTCATTATCCATGCGACTATACTGGCAGGGGCGGGGGTGGGGTAAGAGGAGAGACGTCATTGTCTCGGCCAACGATGGTTCATGAGGCTGGAGTTGTGGAGTACGTGTGTGTGTGTTTGGAAGTAACCTGTACAGAGAACTCAGGTGAGACCCGTTGTTCTTGTGATACAGGTCAAAGGGTACTTTTGTGTTTCACGAAGCGTCTGCCTCTGGAGCAACTCATCGTCTTTGAAATAGGAAGCACGCTCGGATCATTCATCAGTTACAAGGCATACCACTTACAAGCTACACGTATAGGAGGAGGTACATTCTCTACAACACAAATTGTAGTTTTGTCTTGCGTGTTGACGTAGATTTTGTCTAACTAGGGCTAGAAATAGTCCTTGCTGATTCACGTCTGGATGTTCGTTACCTATCGATTGAAGCAAACCCCACTGCTGTTGTTGAGACGCTGTGCACCATTTAAGCCACCCGGCGCTCCGCTCGTTGTTGTGAGCATCGCTCCTCCGCCCTCCGTTGGAGGGCGACCGCCTCCAACTGCCCAATAGCGTCCTTCACGAGCCTCCTCCACAGAGGCCGATCTTGACACCGCTGGTACCAGTCATCGGCAAGTCCACTCAGCTCCACGTCCTCCTGTACCACATCACTCCATCTCTTCTGTAGCCCGTGCCGCGCCCGCTTTGCCCCCTCAATCCGGCCGAACAAAAGCTGTTTCGGCATGCGGTGGCTGGGCATGCGGGCTACATGACCCAGCCATCGCAGCCTTGCCCGCCGGAGCTCACCGATGGGATCTTGCCCAGATCTTTCAAGGATTTGTGAGCTCCTCACACAATCCAGTCTGGTTAAACCCAGGATGGATCGTAGGCAGGCCAGCCTAAATGTTTCTAACCGGCGAAGATGTTCCATTAGGGGGGTCCACGTTTCGCAAGCGTAGAGAAGGGAGGGAATGACCGTGGCCGAGAAGAGGAGAGACGTCATTGTCTCGGCCAACGATGGTTCATGAGGCTGGAGTTGTGGAGTACGTGTGTGTGTGTTTGGAAGTAACCTGTACAGAGAACTCAGGTGAGACCCGTTGTTCTTGTGATACAGGTCAAAGGGTACTTTTGTGTTTCACGAAGCGTCTGCCTCTGGAGCAACTCATCGTCTTTGAAATAGGAAGCACGCTCGGATCATTCATCAGTTACAAGGCATACCACTTACAAGCTACACGTATAGGAGGAGGTACATTCTCTACAACACAAATTGTAGTTTTGTCTTGCGTGTTGACGTAGATTTTGTCTAACTAGGGCTAGAAATAGTCCTTGCTGATTCACGTCTGGATGTTCGTTACCTATCGATTGAAGCAAACCCCACTGCTGTTGTTGAGACGCTGTGCACCATTTAAGCCACCCGGCGCTCCGCTCGTTGTTGTGAGCATCGCTCCTCCGCCCTCCGTTGGAGGGCGACCGCCTCCAACTGCCCAATAGCGTCCTTCACGAGCCTCCTCCACAGAGGCCGATCTTGACACCGCTGGTACCAGTCATCGGCAAGTCCACTCAGCTCCACGTCCTCCTGTACCACATCACTCCATCTCTTCTCTAGCCCGTGCCGCGCCCGCTTTGCCCCCTCAATCCGGCCGAACAAAAGCTGTTTCGGCATGCGGTGGCTGGGCATGCGGGCTACATGACCCAGCCATCGCAGCCTTGCCCGCCGGAGCTCACCGATGGGATCTTGCCCAGATCTTTCAAGGATTTGTGAGCTCCTCACACAATCCAGTCTGGTTAAACCCAGGATGGATCGTAGGCAGGCCAGCCTAAATGTTTCTAACCGGCGAAGATGTTCCATTAGGGGGGTCCACGTTTCGCAAGCGTAGAGAAGGGAGGGAATGACCGTGGCCGAGAAGATCTGAAGCTTAGTGCGGAGCGACAGACCAGGTAGCTACCACACAGCGTTACGCAACTGATGAAATATATTGCCGCTCGACTGATTCGGAGTGAGACCTCTGCTGTAAAACTGGAGCCAGTCATAAGCACACTGCCCAGGTGTGGGAAACTCTCCACTCTCTCCACAACTGCCCCATCACCGATCGGGAGTTGTGGGGGTGGAGTGTCCGATGGTACAAAATACCCAGGCAGGTGCTTAGTTTTGGTGGGGCTGATGGTAAGGCCCCACCTCTTAGTGGCACGCTCCAGTCTCAGCAGCAGCGTCTCCAACTGCTCCTCTGAATGAGCAGCTATTACCATATCATCAGCATACATAACGTGGTTGAGCAATAAGGAGCCATCCCTTGACCGCACCCGGGCGTCGATCAGCCTCCCATTATATCTGTACCATACGGAGATTCCCCCGGTACAGCTATTGAAGGCTTCACGAACTACGTGGTCAAAATAGATGTTAAATAATGTGGGAGGCAGAGGACATCCCTGTCGCACCCCAAGGTGTACAGGGAATGGCTCTGACTCCCGGCCACGTAGTTTTACCCGGGCCCGCTCACCATCATGAAGGTCCTTAATGATCGTGAGCAGAGGGTCAGGTACTCCAAAAACACGAAGAACGACCCAAAGCCCAGGCTTACTGATGGTATCACAGGCCTTGACAAGGTCAATAAGGCAAAGATTTAGGTCTTGTTGGAATTCCCTACACCTCTGCTGTAGCAGACGGACAGAAAATATGGCATCTGTGCAGGACCGCCCTATCCTGAAACCGCATTGGGGCTCTGCAAGCCTCTCCTCAGCGTGCCTGGCAAGGCGATGCTGAATAATCCTTGCCAGGACCTTTCCCGGCACACTGAGGAGTGAGATGCCCCTGTAGTTGTTACAGTCTGTGCGGTCCCCCTTCTTATAAAGTGGGACCACCAGGGCATCCTCCCAATCCTGCGGAACCCGTCCAGTGGTCCAGACTGTTGTTATGATGTCATATAGGGCAGTCTGTGCACAAACGCCACCCTCCCTCAGCATTTCACTTGGGAGATCATCTCTGCCCGCTGCCTTTCCTGGTCTCAGACTCCGGATCGCCTTCAGTACTTCCTCAACAGATGGCACCTCAGCCAGCCACTCACAGGGGGTGACTTCTTCCAATATTTGAGGCACCGCAGCCTCAGCAGGGTCATCCTCACTTTGTGCCACGATGTTTTCCTGGCTGAGGGATTTTCCCTCCCCCAGGACCTCACAGAAATGCTCAGCAAATCTGCAAACCAGTTCCTGGGGGTCGGAGATTGGATCACCGTTTTTTCCCCTAATGATGGTAATAGGTGTGGCGCTGCAGGTTACTTTTTTGATGGAGTTAAATAGAGATTTGTGATCACGGGCCACTGAGGCAGACTCCATCTCCTCAGCAACCCGCGACCACCACCCATCCTTGCAGCGCCTCACGGCTCTCCGAACCTCCGAGTGAAGGCTGCGGTAAGCCTCCTCATTCTCTGACGTGGGATTCTGTAGCCGATGGCAGTGGGCCTGTCGCTTTTTCTCAACCATCCTGAACACCTCCTCTGTCAGCCAGGGTCTCTGGGGAGGTCTGGACTTGTGTACCCAAAGAAGCCATTGCAGCTGCATGAGTCACAGTCCTAAACATCGCCCATTTACCCTCGACATCAGGAGGAGTCGGGGACGATGCCAATCCCAGCCGCAAGCGATGATGAAATTCTCGCTTGCAACTTTCATCAGATAACTGAGATCAGGCCACTTTAGGTCGGAATGGGGCCCTGGGTGTACACCCACCACCGGAGTGGAAGAATGGCAGGCACATCTTACAGATGACTAGTCGATGGTCAGAGGGCAGATCAGCTCCACGGTAGGTCCTGGTGTCAAGGACATGGGCTCGCATCCGCTGGTCCGTCACTATGTAGTCCAGCAGATGTTCTTGCTTGGACCCGGCAT